TATGAATAACAACTCATTTATCTGAAAAATTTCATGGAGTCATCAGTGGTATGAATTTTACTCCGTTTATCCATATATTTGCCTGAAATTTTCATGATATTCTACAAATAAGTCATGAAAAACTTTAATATTATGCAATAAAAAGGTGCAAAGGTTTAACAATTATTTCGGTGAAAAAAAGTAAAAGCAATACATGGTCACTATTCAGTTCAACAAAATCGGCCCAAAATCGGCCCCGTGGCACTCTACGCAACTGTGTGATCGGCCCAAAATCGGCCCTGTGGCACAGAAGTGGTTAAGGTCAAGATCTAAATGATTTTAGACTGCCTTTTTGATGCTAGATCCATTATGACGTCATAATCAAATTAAACTTTCTTTTTCCCGTACTTTACAGCTGTAAAAGAATTATGTAGAAAATAAAGTACTTTTCTGGAATTCAATTTGAAATCATGTGAAAAGATCCCGAAACCTATATTCAATTTAATATTATTTTAAAGAAGAGGCTAAGAACATACAAAATACCTTTTTCTGAGAGACTGTAGGCAATCTGGATACATTTAATTTGTCTGATATGGAAAAAACTCCCATATTCATTACTGATTTTCTTAATTTTTCATTGAAAATGAAAGTTGAAGATATGATTTTTCGTCTTGTTTACCTACAAATTATGCCCCGAAACACCTTATTTGACAAAGCTATACTTATAAAGCTTCATTAAAGGAATTTATTTCTCAAATTTGAGAAATCTGTAGGCTCCTTTTATTTACTAGATCTTGACCTTAATGCACAGTAACCGAGATATCCCTCTGACGAATTTTCATAATTATCGGTAAAGCAGTAAAAATGTTACCCTGCGTTTCTTTTTCCTTTCAGTATATATATATATATATATATATATATATATATATATATATATATATATATATATATATATATATATATATATATATATAGTTTTGTTTTGTGCCATTGTAGATACCACCTAAGTTGACAGACAGAGGCACAAGCCCCCCCCCCCCCCCCAATATACCCCCGAAAATAGAGATAATACCACGGGTATGATTTTTTAGTAAAACGTTAATTCTGCGTTAGTTTTTGGATTTTTCTTATGGAATACATTGTAAATGTGTACTAGAAGAATAATTTATGAAAAGAAGACATAAAAATATTTTTTGACCCGGGGGTATATTCGGGGGGGGGGGGGACTGTCCACAAGTACCTGTGGTTGTGAGATGAAATGCTCAATCAAAAGTTAATAATACATAGGGGCCTACATGTAATGTACCGAGCAACCTCGTTTGACTTAATTGACAAATTGTTTTTAATTACGAGGGGTGATCAAAAAGTTCGCGAACTATCTCTATATTTTCAAAACCACAATTCAGATCAGAATGAAATTTGGCACACATATCTAGTCATACATGTGTTCTATAAATAGCAGCTGTTATGTAATGTTTTGCTCCATGTTTATGACGTCACAATGTGAAAATGACGTCAATGGGTAGGTTACTTGTGACAAAAAATGATTGACTCAGTCGTATTCGAGCAACGGACGCCTGTAAAGTTTAACGTGTATCTTGGAAATTCCTTTGCAGTAGCATATAATAATAATTATAAGTTTATGAAGACAAAAGTCTTGCCAGGAGTTCAATAATTTATTGGATTGATTGTTTTAGTGAAAGAAGGGAGATGGTTAAAAATGATGTTTGTTCTGTTGCCCAGTGAAAGCAAGCTGGGGAAGAGATGTGTCCTTAGTTCAGCACTTTGTTATAATGAGACTACCAAGTTACAGTTAGAAAAACAATTGAATATCTTAGCAATAATATAATTATTTAATTCCTAAAATATCGTTTACTTTAGACTTTAAACATGACAGATACTATAAAAAGCAGGTTCCCGTACTTTACTCACATTTAGATAAACGACGCTCTAAAGACGAACAACTCGGGTTGTGATGGTCACCATGCTCATTCTGGGAAAGGATATCCTCATCCACCCATCCTATTCCCGAGATTTGGCCATTTTTGACAAATTGACTGTTCTTGATATAAAAAATAACTTGAATGGTAAGAAATATAAGACTCGGAAAAATCTTTTACCTTCTGTGAACGGAACGCTTCAGAGTATGTTACGTGACCGCCTGAATCACGTGATTCGCGCATGGGCAGAACGGTGGCAGACGTGCTTTTAAATCGGAGAGGGCTACTTTAAAAAATTATGAACACTGAAACCTAATTTCATTTCTTTTATGGAAGTAATTTAATTTTGATCACCCGTCGTATATTAAACAGAAAGAACAATTATGTAAGATTTTTTTCTTTCTATTTTTATAGAACAATGATCTGCGCCCCTCTTGTAATTAGACATTTTTGTCATTAGAGTTGGTTTTCAAATATTCCCGAGTATAGCAATTGAAACTTACAAGATTTAAAATCCTACAGACTAACTAAAGAAGTGCATAATAATTATACTAGTATACAAATAAGATTGACAAATATGTTAAACTTGTAGGAGCTTTGCTCAGATTTAATTTTAATTGGTCACAAATGCATCCTTCCCTTTGAGTTGCTTATTCTTAAATATAAACACGTTAAAGGAGAGCTAATCCTGGTAAAAGCCTGAAGAGTTCGGTAAATATCCTTATCGAGTAGCTATTGATCTCATAAAAAGCTTCTTTTTTTTGGTATACTGACCTTGGCTTTCCATATAATATTTCAAGAAAATTAATAAAATATTACATAAAACAATCATTACTGGTAGTTTCTTCGATCAATATGAAGCAGCTGTTTACTAACAAATGTAAATGAACGAGAATAAAACACATAAGTTTTTTCCCCTTTACTTCAGCTGCTTCTGCTGCGTTTATGAAACTGACCATCGACTAAACTAAAATTTTAGCTCACCTGAGCCAAAAATTCAAGTGAGCTTTTCTAATCGAAGTTTGTCAATGGTTCGTCTCTCTCGCGTCTGTTCATTTTGCACATATTCGACCTCCTAAGAACTAGCAGGCCAACTTCAGCCTAACTTACATGAATGGTATTCAATTTTCTTCAAGAAAATGGCCAAATGCTCCAAAGTTACAATGTTACAAAGGGACATTGTAAAGAAATAGGTACACGTATTTTCATTTGGAAAAGGTTGTTTAAAGAACCAGTTGGCCGGAAAAGACAAAAATTATGTAAAGGCTGTACTGTAAAAGCAATTAAAAAGTGCAATATATAAGTGCTTAGAAAAAGTTTTATCAAGATTCATCATGTCTACGTCACGTGACCTTTACTAGTATTCGTAAAGGAAACCTTGCATGGAATCGGAACATACAAAGGTAAATTACTATGGAAAAATCCTCGGTCTACCGACATTCCACTTTAAAGCCATGGTTACTAGTTAATTTTTTTTCGCACGACTCGGAGGGGCGGGGGGGGGGGGTTCAATATATTCGTGTTGGGTCATACATTAATTTTTGTTTAGCCGAAAAGGTAGATTTTTTTAAGTTCTGAAATCTGCAATTTTATAATATCTATAAGTCGATAACATTCAAGCATTTTAGATACTTCCACCCTCACAATTGTATTGGTTCAAAGTACAAAATCTGCATTTATTTTTATTGAATATAGTTTAAATTAACCAATAATCCCCAAAATGTAAAGGCTGCCATATTAAAGATGTCAGATATAAATCAAAAGAAGTATATGTCAGTATTTACTTACATTTTTAGTAATCAGTATTATTAAAATTATGTAAAAATTGATTCAAATTCATAACTCTGATACTGAAAGTTTCGAAATAATTGTTAGTTTGTAAATGCGCTTGAATTATGAATATCAGGGAAAACATTTTACACTGAAAGTACAATAAAGAAAATGCCCGACTGAAGAATCGTCAGGAAGGGTTATTGCCCTTAACACCATTTTTTGAAGATTAAACAATTGATTAAATAAATTACTTAATTTTTAAAATTCTTTTACTGAAACAATATTTTTCATTACACCTTTTGAAAAGCATTTTTTCCAAGAGATATATTTCTATTGGGTAGGCATTTCAATTAATAATATATTTTGCAAAAACCTATGACATCACTGGTGGGTGGAATTTCCTCAACAAAATTCCATGTGCAAATTCTACTTTTTTCAGTCTTCCTTGTATTTGCTTTTTAAAAAGTAATAGCTTTAGAAAATACTTGACTGCCTACAGTTTTCTATGTCCCAACACCCCAACAAACTTTATTAAAGCAAAAATGGGAACATTATTTGCATGGTCCATGCAAATTTTGTTCAGTTTTTGAAGTTTAAGGCTTCATGAAAAAATAGGCTTCAGAACTGAAGAAAATAATTTTGTCTGGCCCATTCCTCCTTATCGCACGCTTGCGCAGAATAGTTGAACAAGTATCCATGGTCTAAAGTCCCAAGAAATGGTATGTTGGTAGACCGATGATTTTGATACAATCTTCGAAAAAGGTAATCACAAGATATTCTTTCCCTTTGTGTGCTCCAATTCAATGTTGTTTTCGAGTTTTACGAAAATTGCATGACTTTGCCTCGGACGATGACAACTATACAGTAAATATACATTTTTTTTTCTTTTTTCGGCTCTTCTATTTTGCTCCCTTCGCTTGCTTTACAGTGCAGTTGAGTTTGTCAAAATTTTGCTATGCTAATATATATATTTTTTTCAATTCTTAATCATAAAAGAACCTATGATTTTGACTCATTATGTCTCTTCAAATTGGTGAAATTTAATAAATTGTCTTTTCTTTAATTGTCTTAATAATCTACAGATTTATTTTAAATAATAGTTAGTCGATTCAGTGGTTTGTGGCCCTTCGGCCTCTTGTTTTTCCACACATTGTTCGGTGTACATTAATTTAAACAAATAAACAAAATGTCTTTTTGGAGTCTATGCTTTCTTTGTATAGAAGAAATAAAATTTTTCAAGCAGTTAGTTTCATTAATTTTATGAATTTTAGTTAAAGTATTGAAACAAAAAGCTAATATAGTATTACATGACTCGTATTGTTCAGTAGATGAACACATCTACATGCATTATTTAATTCATAAATCTATCGTGACTGTAAAGTTTTATCTTTCCAAACATTATCTTCATTGCATGAAAAAGATACTGAGTAGTCTAAACGAGACTTGTCGTATGTGGTACATGAGGAAACATTAGCTGATTCAATTGTCAGTGCTATGAAATTTCCTGATATGATTACAGAGAAACTGAGGGTGGTGGTGGTGGTGGGGGGGGGGGGGTAGGAAGTCATTTTTCAGTTGTCTAGGAATATTGCTGCTTCATAATTTCGTTAAGATACCAAAATTCCCCCTGTCTCATAAAATTACAGTCCTTTTGAGTTACAGGAAATGACGAACTCCATCTCGATTCTTCTACAATCAATATTGGTGTTTCTTTGCTATTGCAAAAGTTTTCTAAGTTCTTTCTTAACAATTTATAATAAGAAATTTCTTCTAGAATATCATGTCCATAAGAATGAATTTGTTTCCATAGACGTTTTAGAAAGAAATGGTATAATTCGTAATCAAGTGTAGCAAACTGTCGATGTAAATGAATTTCCTTCAGTCCAATTTCATTCAAGTCTGAAGTTCCTTGATTAACATTCAGATTGACAAACAGAACATCCTTAACATCCCAGTTTAACATTCGTCTTAAAAGTACGATTGATTCGTCCATATATTCGTTTATAATGACAAGGTCGAATTCTTTGTCAAGTTTCTCTAAATATTGCTTCACCTCATACGAGCTGAAAGAATCAAAAAGATGCAATGGAAAATTGAATTCAAAAGCCATTCTGTTATTCAAAAAGGATGTTGCTGGATTGCTGTTTTCTTTTCTTTGGGTCGAAGTGGAATTCTGTAGAAAATGACGAAGATACTGAGCATGTCCATTATGTCCACCATAATTAAAATACCGAATGGAGGATTTGAAATGCAGAAACGGTTCTCGGACAATTCCTATGTATTTTGTATCATTTGGCATGATTCTTTCAAAAGCGGAACGGTTATAAACAACATGGAAACACAATATTTCGTATCTTTTACCTTTAGGAGGTGGAATGATATTGTATCCTGGTATAACTGATTCTTCTAGACTGATAATATTAGGAAACCATGATTTATTATTGGCAACAACAAAAGTTAAATTCCTTTTGAGTCCGTAACGTAGGAAGAGTCCCTGGGCCGTTGTACTTCCCGTTTTATGGACTTTCAAGAAAGCTATATGTTGATTTGGTGTTTGCTTTGTAGGAAAATATATACTGTTGCTGACATTATTCAAATCAGCTATTTGGTTTGTGTTTCTGTACTTCCAATAATTCTGCAACGGTGTTCGGTATTCAAATTTAGCCGTCATCAGGAAGAGGAAAACTGTTAGAAAAACTCCAAAACATATACATCTGAAATGTAAGAATAATGATATGTTAGATAAGGCTAAAATGGATACTTTTTGGGGAGAAAATTTTAAACATAACAAATAAGACGAAAACTTTTGGAAAAAAATATAATAATTGAAAAGTATAAAACGAATAGCTAATTTTTTTCTAAGAAATTTAGGTATATTAAGTTCATACAGATACCATTCTTTTTAACAGATTCAATTTTACCTACGACACAAGCAAAAATGCATACATAAGATAACATACGTCTATGCCTAATATTTTTTACTTGTATTTGGACATCAATTATGAACATGCTAATAAAATCGTTTTTCGTTTAAAAAATCTACAATCGAATAAATGAAGGTTGCTGTATTTTCCTTATTTTACGCGAGTACTTAATATCGCGAAATGGCCCTTGGACGCCACATTTCGAGAACGATAATTCGCGAATGAACGGTTGATCTATAGCTTTTACATGGATTCCAGCGCCATAAGAGAAAAGCGAGTAATTTAATTTTGCGAGTTATGCTTCTCGCGAAATTACGCAATAATTAATTCCTCGCGTATATTTAGTAATCTACAGTATTGGCATTAATTGTCGTTCATTATATGTACAAAGTGCAGATAAATATCCTAATAGGAATATTCACAAATCTATTTGACAATATGTTAAAATTGACACGCTAGCATTTCCTGCAAATTTTACTTGGAAAAAATATAGATGATAACTATATACATGTATTTCCTATCATAATTTTACTACATTTAAATGAATTGAATTCAAACAAATGCATACATTTTGCCATGGCATCTTGATAAGTCATAAACATTATTGTTAAACTCTGATATAGATACAAAATTATCAATGTTAAAATACATACATTTTTGTAACTGAAACAAACATGATATGTTGGTAAGTCTTCATGGAGTTAATCTGTGACATAGAAGCTCACCACTGACTTGTGCCTGCTGGTTATCTAGATAAATCATCATCGAGTCCACCCCATGATCAATTTACCCATAAAAGCCTACAGAATTCAGAATTCAATGTGTTTTGTTGACATTTTGACATACACGTATAAAGGACTCAATTCAAGACAACAAAGTTAATGTAAGACCACAAACTATTAGTACAGCTTTTGTGATATGATATGGTCACAGATTTATTTGTTCAATATTTTGGTTGAAACATTTGCTCAAATGACTTTCTTTAACTACTTACAATTTATGGCTATATTCCTTAATCATTGTTCAGTTCATTAAAACTTCTTTTAAATAATAGTTTAAGCGGCGTAGGACGGGGGTGGGGGTATATTCCACTTCTGCTAGATAAAGACGCTAAAACGCTCTTGGATGGAACATTGTATTCTTTCGTCAAGCACCGGTATGGGGTAAAACGCTAAGTCAATAGGAAATATAGTTTCATCTGTAGGGTTCCTCAATGATATTTAATTTTTCCCAAGAATTTGTGATTGAAGTTATGTTAAAAAAAACTTGAGGTACAATACCAGGCATTTGTGCAAGATGCCAGAGAATGGTTTTTCCTACATAATCCAACTTGAAATCACTTGAATTGCTGATATCGCAATTTTTGGTTCATATATTTTACGAACATATTAAAAATAGTTTAGAAAATATAGCGAATATAATTATAAATAGCTTTGGTATATTACGAAGAGATTAAAAAAAAAACATATATTCGAGGATCGTATATCCTGTAAAAACCTAAAAACCAAAATTTTTTTTACAGTGAAATAGGTTCTGCCAAGTCTCATGTTACGCCTCCATGTTCAAGTGACTCTGTGATAGCTTTGGTAAGCGAGAAACAGTGAACCTCTTACGCCTTTAAAGACCAGAACATTCAATTTTGAGCTGCCGTTGAAAAATAAACGCAGAATTTATTTGCAGAAAGCTTTGATCCGCCTTTTCTAAATTTCAAATTGCTAGCCTACATTTTTCATTGTGAAAAACCTGGTTACGCAATTTCAATTTTATTAACAAATCTGCTGTCTGATGAAGAATTTCCTTCTAATCTGAATAGGACTTCTTCCATGAAAATAAAAGTTTCGAAATTCTCTAAATCTGAAAACTTCTACCACATAAACATAGACAGAAGCGGCGATTTTTTTTCTGCAGAAAATTTAGACTGTCTATATTACTGTCTGTGATGTATGTGTTTAGTTACCTTTTCACATTCCTTACCCGCCGAAATATGGCTGAAATATTGCCGACTCGGCGTAAAACAACAATAATCAATCAATCACATTCCTCAGTCTCTCATGAGTATTCTTATACAATATGGCTGTATCATTTAATTGCATGCTCTTTGATTACTAAGTGTTTGTGTTTCTCAGACTAATTTTGCTATCTTTGAAACTTCAACAAAATTGCTGTTTATTTGTTAAAGAATCTTGTCAGTTTGGAACCAAATTTGAATACATAAAAATAATTTTAGACTGTGATACAATAAAAAATACGATGTTTTTTGTCCTTTCTGTTTTCCAGACAGAGAGAAATTACACTTACCTGACCTTGATTGAACATTAGATTGATAAAAATATGAATGAAAGGTAGAGCTAATACTATTAAAATGGGTCTGAAATTAGACTATAGTATAAAAAAGACATGCATAAAGGTTTCAAAACGAAATTAACAATATGACGTACCACTTACAGATGATTGCAAATCAATACCTGACAATAAACGTGTTCGAACAATGTCCTAGTTAGTGCGTAACGTGCTACCTTACATGTCAGGTGACGGAATTAACGAGGTTCGCTCCTGAGCTTTTGAGTAGATTTTTGTCTTAACCTGTATTTCAAAAATTCTGCACAATGCTTTAGTTCTTACAATGAATTTGGATCTTACAATGCCAATTAAACTATATTCAATTAAAACTCCATGATTAAATTCCACCCCAAAAGCATTAAGTGAGGAACTTTACTTTGTGGCGGAAGCTTTTTTTTTTTAGAAGAAAATGATCATTTTTTATCTTTTGAAGTATTAAAAGTATGTTAAGTTTGGATTCCTATTTTTTCCAAACAGCCTGCATACAGAGTTATTCTGGGCCATGAACTGTTTTATGCTGGTCCCAAATTACATATTGAATAAACTATCATGATTTCTATCATCATATTTGATAAATATAGCAAATATATTGCGAAAATCCAAAAAAAGCGTAAATTTAAGCTTAGAATTATTTTAGTAATATCTAAAAATTAACATCACAGACCCCCACTTTTAATTTTCTTATGTGAACATATAAGATACTTTTAACCATTCTTCTTAAATTCAGTAAAATGTCATTACTTTCAAATGTTCTTATTGCTTGTTAAATTTTAAATGTCAGTAAAATGTTGTTTTTTTGAGTGCAAAAAGGTCAAATAATTGAATATGCGAAGTAATTTGAAATTTTTTTTGTTGTCTCTAATTTTAATGTGTCTATTCAAGATGAAATAAGACCGTGTTTGTTCCCATAGTTTATTTCAATAAAAAATATTGGAGGTAAAAACTTAAAAAATTAATTAGTGTGTAAGAAATCGCGCTGTGAATTATAATATTCAATATGTCATAACGCTTGGCTTCAACAGAATGCAAATTAGTGAGAGAATAAGAAGAAATAGTTTTTTCTTTTTCACTGTGTGGCAAACGTAGCCAACGGGACGGTGAGACAGAGGTCGCCCGAGGACTAATTGGGAGTAGGTAGTGTTGCAGAAGTCCGGGGACAGTGGGGAGGAGAGAATTAGACAGAAGTAGCCTGCAGGCCAGTGGAGAAGAGAGTGTATAACAGAAGTACCCCGTAGGGTAGTGGGGAGGAGGGGGTATGGCAGAAGCAGCCCTTGGGCCACTGGGGTCGGGAGCAAGGAGTGTGGCAGAAGTAGCCCATGGGCCAGTGGAGTCGGGAGAAGGGAGTGTGGCAGAAGTAGTCCGCGGAGCAGTAGGGAAGAGAGAGATAGAGAGAGAGATTGGCAGAAGTAATCCGCGTAGCATTTGAAAGGAGAAATTGTAAAAGTTATTTCAAGGCAATAGAGGAGGAGGAAGTGAGGCAGAACTAGTCCGCGGGCCTTGAAAGACGCAGGAGTGTGGCGGAATAGACCGCGGGCCAGTGGGGAGGAGTGAGTGTGGCAGAAGTAGTCCAAGGTCAACTGGGGAGGACGGAGCTTGGCTGGGAAACCGGTCTCTACAGGCACTTGGTTCAATTTTATCATATCCAACAAGATCAAGTCATTTTGTGGACATTGGTCGGGATGGTATGCTCCAGGCATTAATGATGTTGATGTTCTTGAACGCTCACAGTCACTTTTGTTGGCTATGAATACATTTTGGAGGGTTTTGACCTACTTTTATGACCATAAGCAACAGGTTTGTTCTTTGCAACGACGAACGAAATGATTGCCGTGAGTTTCAAGAATTGCCAGAATGTAAAAATGCTTACATCAATTTACGTTGAATTAAAAAATTAGATTATATTACACTTTGCGAGCTTCATATGCATATGTATGTAGTTTTAAAAGATACTAAGAATTTTGGATATTATTTTGAATTAGTTAAACTTACTAACAACAAATTCAATATATTCGTGCGCGTATTAGATAAGTCGAAATTTAATGTTTCGGTTATTAGTTCTTTCTTGTGTATATATTTTCTTACCTACTAATATTTACATTTGCTGTGTTTTTCTATTAAGCCAACTGTGCAATTGATTTGAAGTTCATTTTTGTGTATACTCACGCGTAGAAATATACACGGTGAAACTCGCGGTAAAGTGACGTCACAATGAAGCTACAGAGACGTTAATAAAAATGTAACGATATAGGGCAGCAAGAAATTCAAATATTGAGCATAATATTGTTGCATTTGAACTTGTAAAATGTAAATATAAGGAATGTTTTTCAGTTTAGTGTGAATTATTGGTGTGTAAATCACACAGACTTGCACGTAGGCATATATTTCATGAAGCGCTAGCGCGCTTCAT